CGCTCACCCGCTCCTTCTGGCCTGCTCGTTCGAAATCTTCCTCTCGATGCCAGGTCTCTCTTTCCTTCCCTATGAATGCATATGTGTGCACATATGTTTATATATATTTTCGTATTTATGTGTATTTTGTTTTGTTTATTCAGGATTAGTTATCTTGTTGGCTATATAAGTCTATGTAGTTTATTCTTCAAATGTGGGACTAAATTTGGGTGCTAGTAATGAATTATTGGTTTTGTTTTTGTAATTGTTCATGCTATAATTTTCTATTTATGCGGATGAAATGTGTACAGAGGAGTGAATGTTTCTCTGTGTGTTTGTGTTTGTGTTTTATAATATACACATATGTTCGTAGTTCTGACACCAGTATTTTATATAACAATAACTAGATTTTACATGAATATAGAAATAATCCTTCAACAAATTGAGTATATTATGATTATGGTGAGTCCTTTTAACCACAAATTACGGATACATCAATTTTTCCACAACTATACCTGTAAGCTTCTTGTTGTTATAATTATCTTTTACAAAATAATTTATGGTTTATCTAAGTTTTTGCAGGCCTGAAGATCTTAGGATCCCATTTGAGCGATATGGCCCAGTGAAGGATGTGTATCTTCCTAAGAATTACTACACTGGGTATGCCCTTTTTTATAGTTATACTGTGGATTATGCTAGAGATGCAATGCAATTCTTCTTTGGTGTAAAAGTTGAACTCCTTGAATAGATAATTCTTTAAAAGTGGATATAATTCAGACACTTGTACCATATGAGACATGATGCCACTATTAAGTTATTTAATTAAGCTGTGCCTATTTGAATCTACAGGGAGCCACGGGGCTTTGGGTTTGTGAAGTACCGTTATGCGGAGGATGCAGCTGAAGCAAAGCAACAACTGAACCATTCAGTTATTGGTGGACGTGAAATAAGAATTGTGTTTGCTGAGGAGAATAGAAAAACTCCCCAAGAAATGCGTACAACTACTCGCGTAAGGTACACTGCATTTTGCTTCAATACCAC